TAAAAAAATATATACATATTTTTTATGAAATTAGTATAGATTATCATTTCAAGTGTATCAATCTCACATTATATTTATGTTAACGTTGTATTATATTGATATTCATAAGATATTTAAACATTATATACATTTTATTATAGGTATGTATATTTAAATTAATTGGACCACTTATAATAGGAGATACTTATTTTTAAAAACATAATATATTTTATGATCTACATGATGTTTAAAAAGGTTTTAACTCGTATAAATTTTTTTATTATATTATGTTTTCCTAAGAAGTATACATGTATATGTATATATCAATGAATATAATATTCATTCATATTATAGTAGTGGAAAATATTTCTTGGTAATATAGGGAATATAATATTGATACTATATACGTGAACCTTAATATAATTTGCTCATTAATATAGGCTTTCCTGTGTAATGCTTTGTAATAGATTCACCTAATACATTTGTCTTACAAAAATTTGAAGCACTCATTATAATATTGCATATTTATGCTACATATATATTTATATATTTTGATTATTTAATAAATCATGAATTACAAAGCGATACATTCATAATTTACAGCATTGCTCTATAATATATTGATACTAATATGAAAATAAAACAAATATAAATTTTTTATAAATGAGAATATAAATTTTATAACTTTAATAAGAGTAACAAATCTGAATTATTTTAATATATTAAGTATATTAACAACATTTATCTCATAATACTGTTAGGTATTTATTTTATAATAAATATAAATTCGTATATATATATAATATAATATTTACCGCTATTTCACTTATCCTTATAAAAAAATATACTCTGAATTAAGGAATCTGCAAATGTACATTCGAAAATACAACAGCATAATGGTATTATAAATTTTTTTTAATGCTTTTATTGTTTTATATTTCAAATGTGATATAATTAGCTTATTTAGAATTTTCCATGCACGTTTTTCATTATTTATTATTAATATGTAGAACATTTAAATATGAAAATTACATAAAATTATGGGATTATTTTAATAAGAATTCAGATCTTATTCAATATATATATCAAATTTTATTTATTTGTACATTAATTAGAGCATTCTATATTTGGTAAAAATATATTTCATTAATGAAGAATATGAATTACTCAAAATATAAGTAATAAAAATAATACAATTTTTTATGGAAATTCATTATATTTTATTTTAACATATGTTATATACAAATGGAGTCAGTAAGTATATATGTTATTTTTTTATTATATATACAATTATATTTATTGTTTTAATTAAATACAAATAATCTTTTGCATTTTATATTTATATTTTAAGATCGCATATTTTGATTCAAATTATAATATGTCTATTTTAATATCAGTAGTAATAATATATATTAATATTTATTTATGATTATATATTGTTATACATTTGTACATCAAGATGATCACTACAATTTTTGTGTACTATATAGATATATTAAAAAATTTATATTTTATTCATTATCATATATCATCAAATAATTATAATTTTTTAATGATAATATCATTGTTTTAAAATATTTTATTTCATTCTTATATATTTATTTTTTTTTCTACTCTTAGAAAATTTTTTTTTTTTAATTTTATTGTTTAAATGAGGTTATGTTCAATTTATTAAGGGCAACACAATGTTTTCATTGGTATCCTAAGGAGGTACATTCTTTTTTGTATTTGTTATCTCTGAAAATATTGTATATCAATTCAGATGAATCCATTATGTTCAGATGATCTTTATTTTTTCTGTTCCACACTCTCCATATCTTCCATATACTTGATTGTAAAATTAATCCATATGGAGTAAACTGATGATGTGTGAACAATGAGATATATATTAATTCAGCATTTATTTTAAGTTGATTTTTTATGATTATCCATAGCGTAAATTTTAACAAAAATATACAATAAATTATTAAATTTTATATTTAACCTTATACAGAAAGAATGTTATCATCGATAGTGTAAAAGGTATTATAATTAATGTTAATATAATGATACGTGCATTTTTCAAAGATTCATGAAGTTTCAGTCTTTCTTGTATATCTGACATGTATTGCATATTTTCATATTTAAATTTATCTAGCAATTCATGAAAACTATGGTTTTCTATATTTCCATATTCCAATAACAGTTTCATGTACTTCTTATAACATTCACTATGATTAGCACAACCTTCTGATTTTGTTAAAAATGATCTATATAGTTCATTGAGCTCGTCTAATAGGGAATACAAATTATCATGAAGAGATTCAAAATTTGTCATACATATATTATGAGCATGATTAAAACTACTTCCTATGATTCTATTATTTATTTTTTCGTAAGCAAACCTAGAGCTTTGTTCAGTGCAATTAAGCTCCTTTAGTGATTGCTTCAGAATATAGTTGAAATAATTACAACATGGTCCTATATTAGAAGAGGATGATATATTATGTACATAGTCTAAATAGAATATAAGTGTTTTACAATCTGTCATAAAGTTCGAAGTATTAGTACATTGACCAAGATCAGCTTTAATATTATTACATAGAACTTCAGGAATAGATCTATAACGTTCATCGAATTTTAGTTTATATTTTTCATAATCAGTCATACAGTTAGGAAATATTACGTCAAATTTGAACTAAAAGTAAAAAAATAATAGATATAAAATATTAAAATAATGTTTATAAAGAAGTATTTTTGTTTTTATATTAATACACGTACTACTATATTCAAATTAGGCAAGGTAAACTTTAATTGTCTTTAATAATAGAAACCTACGTCTTTGCTAATAGCTAATGAGTAAGACATTGTGTTATTTTATATAAATTAAACAAATTAAAGATTATATTTTGGTAATTATATATGTTTGTATGTAAATTTATTATAATACATTCTGTGCTTATAAAAAATATGTTTTAAAATATAATGCATAAATCATAATGCGCTTTTATAAATTTATACTCCATTCATAGTATACGCAAGGATATTATTTTATAATTCGCTCTGAATAGAGGAAGAAAATATTCACATGATTAAATATTATGAAAAAGAACACATAATCTCTGAAATTATATAAAAATTAAAAATGATAAGTTTTATTTTTTGTATTACTATTATACACATATAATAAATGGTTACCCAATCTAATAACCTAGCAAATGCATATATTTAAAAAGTCAATATATTAACCCATAAAATTTATTTATATGTCTTTTTATTGGATGTAGGCATGTGAAAAAAATGGTTTTAGATAAAAATATTCCTAATAATTATTTAAATGTATATATTCTTAATATTCATATCCAATATTATTATATATTTTAAAATACATATTACATGTAATCTATTCTACATATTAAAGAAATATTATATATTTATAAGTAAAAAGGTTAATCGAATTCTTTTATAAATTAAATGCTAAATAAATTATAAATTATTATTTAAAAGTATGCAAATCTTTTAAACTTGTGCTTGAAAAAAACATAAGCATTACAATTACAATTCTAATAAATGCTATAGGAATTTCATATATCATAGAGTTTAGGGTTTTTGATTCATCTATTATATATTTTATTGATCTCATATATAAAAAACACAATGCAATATTGAAATTAATTTTAGATACATATATATGTGAATAGCATATAGGATCATGTATTTATGATTCAACATTATATAACATTTAATGTGGGTAAAAGAAGTAATGTCATTTATTATAATAACATTTATATATTTTTTTTTATAATTATAATATATAAAAACCATATAAACATTTAATTATAAATGTATGTTTCAGAAAAATTAAGAGAAAAAATTCCATATATATCTTATGTACGCCAAATAATGAACCATTTAATATATTATACGTATACGTTTTATTATTTTTTTTAAGCCATAACAAATGTGTTATTAATAAATATAAGGTGTTAATAAAAGTACAACAAAATATTTAATAAAATATATATTATAACAACGAATGAAATTATATATTTTTTGATGTATATGATACAAGGTTAAATTATATTTTATAACTTATGCAGTAGTCTTTTTTCTTTATTTTAGGATATCATATAAATTATAATTATGTTTGCATTATATTGTAAATCATGTATATCATATTTTAAATAATATAATAATTAAAATATATATTGCATCATATAAGTAAAAAGAATAAAGATAAGAAAATTATATTAGATATTGTGTGATGCAGAATGTAGTATAATATTTTTATACTTTACATTTCATATGTTGATGAATTTTTTATTAATATTCCAATGTACATTATATATAGGTATAGAAGATATATATTTTACATTAAAAACAACAACATACATTAAATTTATTTTTATAAAAAAACTATAAAAGAATAAACTGTTTATGTATGAATTTTAATGCATCATATATAATATATATAATTAGGGATTTTATTTATTATCTTATATTGAAAAGAATTATTTAATCATTGCATAAATAATTTATAATACGATTAATATTTCAGTGTAAAATATATAGGAAATATATATATTATTTTATTACATATGTTATAAATATTCGTAATTTACAATATTATAATAAACATAATATGCTATGGATAGTGATCTTTATTTTATTGTATTTAATTGTACTATGAATTCATTAGAGCACATTTTTTATGAAAAAATAAAGTAAATTATTATTATATATAATAAATAATATACAGAAGTAAATATTGTGTTTTATATATATTTATCCTAAAAAATAATTTAAAATAATGAAATATGGAAGTACGACATTTTCGCGCAATTCATATACAGTGAATTTTTTTGAATTACAGAAATAGTTATTCTAAAATTGCTTTAAAGAAATAAAGTAAAAATTAATAGTAATATATTGTTTTTTATTATAATAAATATTTATGTTTTCATGAAAACAGATAAATATTATTTATTTTTATTCATTAATAATGTTCAGCATACTACTTAATTTTTAAGGTAATATACGTATCCCCTTGGAAAATTATATGCATAACTTTTTAAAAAATTTTTTTTAACGTTATTTATGATGAATATAATACTATATTCACTTATTTAATAACTATGAATATACGAAAATATAAAATATATTTAATAAATCTGTTTGAAATATTTTTGAAAAGGGTACAAGTTTTTTTATTTACATTTGTGTTTTTCTTCCATGTACATAAGACGCTAATATCATAAGTTAATTACAATTGAAATTATTTGCTCCATTCAAAGTATAAAATGATGGTATATATATTATTATAAATTAAAATAAATTAAAATAAATGATATATATAAAAATTAAAAGGTAATTCTTTAGATCCTATATAAAAATGTTAATACTAAAAAAAACATGTAAATGACATATATACATATATTTCATTATACTTTAATGTGCAAAATGATGTTTTATATTAGGTGAATGTATCATTCTTAAATGAATATTATGTAGCGTATATTTTGTTAATTTAATTTTTCCTTTTTAGTATATATATGTAAATGATTTCCTTCATGCATGGAATCTACATATATATTATTTTTATATACCTATATTTATGAACAAAATATATAAGAATTATGATTAGAATCAGAATACCTTTAATATGTATTTTTATATGCATATTACAATTTACTGTAATTATTCTGTAGGAATTATTCAGTAAGAGGAGATATATCATTATAATATATATTTAAAATGTATTAATGCGTGAAATATGAATTATTATGATTTTTAGTTAATAATATTAATAGATATATTTTTATTATATTTATTTCTAAATTTAATAATAGATGTAAATGACAAGTAAAAAATTAGGCTTTTTCATAATATGACAAATTAGACAAATAAATATATAAATTGGAACATTTTTAATTTGTGAATTTTATTAGATTCATATTATATAACACAAATATTAAATAAAACATTTGAAATACAATACGACTGGCATATGCCTAAATGAAAAAAATATATTTTAAACATTTTTTATTGTTTTTACATTATTTTTCCATGTAAATAGAATGTATAATAATTCTTTCATACTTTTAAAAAATAAAAATATATATTTGAAACTCTTGAGTTAGATAATCCCATAATATACATATGTATAATAATTTATATAATTTTCTCTATAATTTTATATTATTAAAATATATGTAATGAATTATCAAAATAGAACTGTAAGGAATAGAAGTAAAGTAATGATTATGCTCAGTGTTCGCAATTATACATATATATGATATTTTATATAATTTTTTTTCGTAAATATTTAGAATTACATATATTTACAGAAATTAAATATGTATCAAAATATTATTACATACATGATTTGATATAAATAACTACAACAGAAAAAAATTATTTATATGCATTCATAAAGAATAATACAACCATCAAAATCATTTTCTTTTTGTATTTTACGTAAATTAAGACAATTTAGGTATTTTGTAAAGTGTATAACTGTATGAATGGGTATAACACAGAAAAGCACAATGTTCCAAAAAGAAAATTTGATGTATTTTTACTTAAAAAATATCATAGAGGAAAAATAATAGTCACTATAGAATACATTATATGGGATACAGTAAATGTAATTATCAGGAGTCTTAAATGAGAAATTATATATATGTTAGATTAATATGCCTTCTTATAACTAAATTATATATCATAGACATTCTGTATAATATTTTTAATCAGAATACAAAATATATTAGTCTGAAAGTATTATATTCTTTAGATATTTTTCTTTTATATATTTTCTGTGGTATGATTTTACCAGATAAAAATTTTTTTAATTCATGGTTTTTATATTCTTTTTTCAAAACTATTCTTCGTTATAAATCTTATAATAGGATCTTAGACCCTCACTAACAATTTATATTCCAGATTTTATCACTATTATAGTAAATTATGTAATGGGAGTAAAGATAAATTTAATTATACGAGGTATGCATTTTTCATAATATTATTCCCTACATATATAAATAAAAAAGATAATTTTGAACAAATATCACGATTTAAAATGTCCTCAATAGATAAATTTAATATATATCCCCTTATACATTAAAAATTTTCATACTAATATATAAATACATATCAT